GTTCTGTGTTTTTATTTTGGATAAATCTCTTCAGATTTCACATATATATATCTAACTTAATACACGATAATTATAAGATCTGAAGAGAATTTATTGAAACTAATATTGTTGATTTCGACTATTAGTTCGAATGATATGATTGTGTGTTTCATGAATGTTTGGTTACGAACTTCAAGATAATCTAATGTGTATGCGTTGTATTAAAAAGAGAATGCTTTATTTCTTAGAAATTCTACCGAAATTTACCAAAGGATGAGTTGCGTTCAAACTTAGGACTAAGGGTTTGGAAGTCGAGAATTCAGAGTTAGCCAACTTCGAAAGCGCACAATAATTTGTTAAAGAGAACAGGATCTATGATTTGAGCAGAATAACATGAATTCGTTTCATTTCATCTGGTTCAAGTTAGCTGTTTACAACCTGTAATATTTAAAAACCATTACAAAATGGGTTTAAATTGTTTACATAACGCACATCAGCATAATATAGCAGTGATGTCACTTGTTATGCAGTATTCATTAAACAGAATTTATCCAGTAGCCAAACTATTATAACTGAATAAAACAACGTATTCAATAACTCAGCCAAATGTCAACAAACACCCGCTTTTACACTACTGCCAACTGTGTCTATAGATATATGTGTACCTCTCAAAGCAAAGATATAGATCGAACTGAAAGAAGAACATATCTTGGATTTTTTTGAATATGTTCCAAAAAGCCTTCGAACAAGAGAAAAGACTGCTGAACATTTCTTGGATACAAGATATCAGGTCGCTACGTTGCAATCCTTCACGTTAATTGATGAATAGCCATGCTTCAGTTTTCTGAAGCCGATGACTCCTGTATAATATCCTTTCACATAAGATGTATATTTACCACAATGTGTTCAGTCGATTCAGTTTTCGTACATCCTTGTTATACTATACTGATGTTTGATGTCAGCAATTTAAACCCACATTGTGATGATGATTTTTAAATGTTGCCTGTTGTAAACAGCTGACTAGAACCAGGTGAAATAGAATGAATGAATGTTATTCTGCTCAAATATTAGTTCTTACTCTCTTCAACAAATTTTTGTGCTCTTACAAAGTTGGATAAATTTGAATCCTTGACTTCCAGACCCTTAGTTCAAGGTTCGAACCTCACTCAACCTACTTTGGTTTGGGAACCGATTAGTATTTGATAATTATAGTTTGACTCATTCAAATACGTGGGAATGAGTTAAATAGAAAGGAAGTGACTTCGGTTTCGATGTACTTTTGCTCGCTACATTGTGTTATATGTAACATGTTGATTGTGATCAAGTTGATCTAGTGTGATGGTCAGGTTATGAGGGTGGATGTTGCCCATATCTTGGGAGTGTATTTCTTGAGGAACATGAGAGGCGAGTTTGTTTTAACGACCGGTAGTGTGACCCCAGAGCCAAAGAAGCAATTGGTTCAAGCCAGTCACGCACAACCTACTAATGGTGAGTTTGTTAAGTGCTAGCTCCACCCTTCAAAACGCCTTACCACCGTAGACGGAAATCGGTGAGGTAAGGTAAAGTAGGACATTTTTAGGGTTGACCTATTCTAATCCACCCTTCTTTGTGAGAAGGGAGCATCACTGCAGATGCTGGTTGTCCGAGGGGAACACCTTACTGCTGTCACACCTCTGTACAGTCAGCAGTACGACTTCGCCGTTAGACCTAGAGTTGCTTCTTTAAGTCTCACCATTCTCCAATTGACCTGCCTGGCATGGTAGGACCTAAAAGAACATATGTTCCAGTCAATATAGCTCGGTTGGGTCACCATGATAGGCCAACCAGACCACCGTGACCAGTTGGGAACTGGGCATAATCCCATCTCATTGCTCTTAATCACTGATTGTTCCCGGTATATTTCGTTGTTTAAGGTCTTAAGTTGTTTTTGTCTATTTCTGTAGAAGTTAGTCAATTTGATCAATCTATATTCAACATACATCTTACAATAGTATTTCGATTTCATAGTCTTTTTTATATATTTATTTATTACCTCTCTTCATGTCAGTCTTATGGTTCAAGTCTTCACGTGTCTGTCAATTCGTTCACCGATTATGTTCATGCAGTGTGCATATAGCATTGCTCTTATTTATGGAATTAGTTAATCTTTTATACTTAAAAGTAAGTTTGGTAAAGTTTTATTATTCTCTTTAACCAGATTAAAGTAACCGAATTATATATTTATGTCTAATGTAATAACCGGATACTTACACATCGACCATAGTTTGAGGTATTCCTTGCTTCGAATACCAATATACTGGATACCATGTTAATTCCTTTCTATCGTCCACTGTCTAATATAATCGAATGAGGCTGATCATATGAACGTAGAATAAATGCTACTTGGTTTATGTTCTGTTGACAAATCTTGTTATGAACAGTGTTAATATAAAAAGTCAAATACAAGTGTTCCGGATATTTCTATTTCATATATTCATTTTGACAGACAGATGAAAAAATAAGAAGCAAAGAATGTAGATGTATCTATTTAAAATATTACGTATTACATTCTTTACTTATAGTACACAGGTAGATAGGTGTTGGACGCATACACACTCATATATGAGATGTATAATCGTAGAATTACAAGGATATGAATATAAAAAGTATTTATAATCCTGTCCGTAGTGCTACCTTGTTGCGTTAGTCGGGCTGGCTTATTATGATTGCCCAACCGATCTATATCGGCTGGAACATGTTCCTGAAGGTTCTGCCATGCCAGGCAGGTCGTTTGGGGAATGATCAGACTAAAAGCAGCTAATCAACGTCTGAGGGCGGAGTCGTACAGCTGACTGTAGAGAAGTGTGACAGCAGTAAAGTGTTTCCCTCGGACAACCAGCATCTGCAGTGATGCTCTCTTCTCACAAGGAAGGAAAGTGTTAGAATAGGTCGACCCTAAAAACGTCACACCTTACCTTACCTCACGGTAAGGCGTTTTGAAGTGTGGAGCTAGTACTTTACAAACTCCCCATTAGAAGGTTTTGCGTGACTGGCTTGAAGCAGTTGTTTCTTGGGCTCTGAGGTCACGCTTCCAAGTCGTTAAGACCAGCACTAATCCAACTCCCTTTTTCAGTTTCATCGAGGAGCACACGATACCAAATAAGTCACAATCAAATCCTTCCTACATTTCTTAACAACTTTCTCATCTCTACGACCAACTCTTCTTTCATTCCTTTGCTATCTCGCACCTCTGACGAAAACTTTTCAAATTCATTAAACGTTATTCCTGGTCTCCTGATATGATGCTTCAAACTATATGTTGGAGTTTTAAATATCGAATTAGGAATCAGGCCTTCTTAACCCTAGAATCTCGTACCGTAGAAGTATGTTGCGTCTCTGAAACATGCATACCGAAACCGCGTAGAGTCATTTAATATGATTTCACCTTGTCCAGATAAAGAACTAACTCGATTTACGCTCCGTGTATCTGGAAGTCGTGACGCTGCTTCCCGTGGTCTCGCAGGTGTAGGTATTGCATTCAGTCCTAGAGCAGAACTAGTTCACTTAGACTAGATCCCAGAAACTCTCCCTTTTTTGTAATCGATTTTTCTGCGATATAGTTGGTGAATGATATATGTTTGATCACTTATCTTTTTGATTACCGCTGATACTTATGCTGCCTTCACTACTTTGGGATTTGAATTGACAATTAGATCTCTGTGTGCTAATGTTGTTTGGTAACTTGAACTGATGTACCTACTTATGTACGAAGTTCTATGTTGTAGCCGATTGACCGAGTATGTCTAATGAAGATTACAAGTTCCTATGAAGCGAAAATAAGAATAATTCAGTAGTCGTATACTGTCTGAATTATCGAAATCTGTCCAAAATTTAGGACAAATCACGTGTAATAACATAGCAGTTGTTACAACTAGTTCTCCTCAGAATACAAGAATTTAATGAAAATCGTAAAAGATATACAAAAATTATTTGACAACTAGTGAAAAGGTACTATTCTATGCATTGTGCAATAATACGTGAGGTGTGAATTTATGGTGTTGAAATATCGTGTTTTTAGGGAAACAAAGACAAACAAAATGCACAGACTGTGCGTGTTGTGCAATAGTGTAACGTCTTAGAACTCTAAAGGTTGGTGAAACGAGTCCAAATCCCATAAAACGTATCATTTTCTTTAATACTGTAGGTTTACTTGAGTAACCCTACATCTGAACATAGATTTACACGTCAACCACCTTGGTTTGTAGGTTACATTATAGTATTATCAATCGAATTCAACCAGCACACTTTAGAGACTGGACAAACATGATATTGGTAGCTACCAAATAATCAATTACTTGAAATTCTGTTTTTCAAGAACCAAACAAAACTGATTAAGATGCAAAACAATTATGTACAAATTAATTTTATAATATCTTTGAAAATAAAGCTTTTGTGATTGTAGTAAAAATAAAAGATGCCTTACAAGGGAAATTTTGTCACTTAATGTTATGCTCGTCACTTGATATGCTTGAAACTATTACGAGTTTACCTTACGAGAACTAGACAATTTCTTCAGTTAGTTGGGGTAACGGAACAGAGTAGCCTACTGTGTCACTGGGTCAAAGTCTTGATATGGAGTAGAAAGTGTATTCTACAAACACCCAGCAAACACAATGATCTCAAGCGCACAAATCGCGTTTATTTATACATCATAGAAACGTCCTTGGAACTGTTTCAGCACTTTTGCACGAAAACTCGAAGTTCTCTAATCCCTTTCTCCCTTTGTCAGTAGGTAGCAATGGTGCAGACAAAATACGGATTCTAACTGTTTACTTCATTTTAGAATCTATGCTGGTGTTGTTGTTTAACTTGACAATAAACATTTTACAATTAAGCCATCCAGTTAAAAAAAACAACTCAAAAAACCTTTAAAAAAAACAGTCCTTATTATTCTCAGCTACAAATCTATTTGATCACATTTTAAATTCATAATTGGTTGTTTTTTTTTTTATTTTAAAAAAATTTTTATTTATTTTACACAGAAAATATGCGATCGTATTAATTTATTATCAATGTCTAAAGAATATCGTTATATTCAACGAACTACTACACGAAGTAGTCTACTTTTCACTGGTTTATCAAATTTCTCTGCCATTAATCGTCGTTCAAATGTTTTCTTAAACTCAGCAATCGGTGGTACAATCATGGATCGTTTATATACATTGATATTTTTCATGATATTTCAATTACAAGTAAGTGGTGTGTTGATGTTAATGTGTTTCTGTGTTTTTACGTTGACTATTCCATAATTTAATGTTGTTTTGTTTTAGGAAAAATGCATAGTCTTCTGACCACCCTAAGCAACAATGCAAGCATGTTCGGGATGCGGTTTTCACCCTCGAAATGCAAAATGTTGCTTCAAGATTGGGTTGCATCGGCACCTGAACTAGTGATAGGGAGTGAAGTAGTTGAGCGTGTTGACCGCTTCACTCATCTGGGGAGTCTCATCAGTGCTGATAGCCTGGTGACTGACGAAATCTCAGCACGGATACAGAAGGCTCGATTGGCTTTTGCCAACCTGCGTCACTTATGGCGCAAGCGAGATATCCGCTTGTTAACCAAAGGACGAGTGTACTGTGCAGCAGTTCGCTCTGTCCTACTATACGGATGCGAAACATGGCCGTTAAGAGTAGAGGACATTCGTAGGTTACTAGTCTTCGATCATAGGTGTATCCGAAGCATTGCTCGTGTATGATGGGAAGACCGAGTAAGCAATCCTATCGTTAGGAAACGAGTTTTAGGTCCCAAGCCCGGATGAACTAACCCCCTAAAAAAGCGCTAAAAAGAAAAAAATTATTCAAACAATTTAAACTCTTCTCTGGGAGTTAGGTCTTCAGTTAGAAGAGTTATGACGTTTCATGATAAAAGCTGAGTTCCTTCGGAATCCACGAGGTCGATGCTCCTTCATCTTGTTCACTATGATAATTGTCAGTATGCATAAGATATTCCAGTTTTTGTTAGTTGGTGATCCCATACTAAACCGTTTACTTTGTGTCCAATTATTTTACATTCGAACATTCATTATTATTATAATAATCATTACTATCGGGATCGTGAACCTGGAAGCACTGAACGGCCGTTTCGTTCTGGTATGTCACTCTTCAACAGTGCGCATCCACAACTCCGCGCGAAAATCGAACGTAGAACCCTCGGTCTCACGCACGAACACTTAACCTCTAGACCACTAAGCCGGCCTCCAACGGTGATAATGTCTAACCTGGATCAATCTAAGGATTTTGCATAACCTCATTCATTGTCTTCTGTATTTGCTGCCTACACTCGGCAGGGTTGAACTCCATTGGTCACTGCTTGTCACTAGAACTCCGACAATTTCTTCACGGAGCTAGTCACTTGTGAGCACATTTTCGATACCGACTCAGTGGTCCAGAATTGAAGCGTTCATGCGCAAAACGACCGTCCAGCGCTCCCAAGTTTCTAATGGAGTGGTTTAACAATAATTGATTCACGATTTCAATAGCCATCTCCATAAGTCTATAATGCAAAATTGTTATCATTATTATTGTTCCATTGGTTTTATGTTCTCTAGTGGAATTTATTGGCTACATTGTCAGCAAATTACTGGATTGGTCATGTGATCAATGCTTTCTCTGTTGCTTTCTTATATGCATGTTATGCATTTGAATATCGTTGGCGACAAGTTGCCGGTAATTTAAACTTTTCACTTATTGTTTGAAATAATTATCTCATTTTATTTTTACAAACTGTTATGTGTTTGGTATCTTATCCGATTTCTTCCCATATCTTCATCTATTTTCGCATTTGCGCAGTGTTGGCTGGGATCTTCGTTGTAAGTTGTATAAAAATGACAATAACCTATCAAGTTAGTAGTTGTTGACTTAGCAGTTGCAGAATCCCCTGATTTTGGAGCCTAATTAATAGTCAGAAATGTCAGGTGACGATATGGCGTAATATTGGTCGCAGTTGAACACTTGCATTTATTTGCGGACTTCAAAGTTTAAGTTTAGCATGTTCTTACACTTTTCACTGTTAGGATACTGTATCTTATGATCTGCCAGGTTTCTCGACATATTTGTAGTTTCTCACAGGGTTGAGCTGTGGTGTTCAGCTTTGGTAAGTTCGTCACTTAGTATGCTTGAGGCTATTACGAGTTTACCTTAGTCGATAAACGCGAATGACACTTTTACCAGCTTCCAGGGAGGCTACCTTGAATCCGAGGCTGAAGTGAGAAGTCTTTGTAAGCGTAGAAAGTATATTCTACAAACACCCAGCAATCACAGTACAATCAAGCATACAACATAAGAATGTCCTTGAGACAGTTAAGAAAATAGCATACTAAAATACACTGCAGCCAATCACAGCCATGGATTTTCCTGGTGGGAATTGAAATCTCAAGGTCATCTGATCAGCCCATGCTGGCAAACCGTGAAAACCAAAATACGGCATTATCAAGCGAATTTTGGGGATCTAACATCCCCAACACTCCTCCCCTTTTTAATAGCGTGTTCTCCTGGGGTCGACTTGCATCTTGACTATTGTTCGCCGCTGTCTGAGAGGATACTTTCGGGAACGAAGAACAGCTTGCTGCTGAGTTTCCTCTCGTGGCTGCGCACTCGGTAGGTTGAAGGTATCAAGCAAGGCGCCAAGGGGAAGGCTTTCTGCTCTTGATGGGCGATCTGGGGCTAGCAGTCTGCGTATCTGATTGCGATGACGTGACCATTTATCACCTCCTACCTCTACTTCGTACATAACTCGACCAACTCTTCTG